CCTGCCTGCAGATAAGGGGAGATGCCCTGTTGTACTCAACACCAGGGATTATCATGACAGAGTAACAACCCTTCTCAGTGACACTGCCACCTCTGAATCTCTAAAACAGGACCCCACCAACACCTACAAAAAGACAGTTCGACAGCTGGAAAAGGATGGAGTTATCGACCGCCCACTCTATTACCGGCTATACCCAGGAGAAGCGGTCCTGTGCATTTACGGATTACCTAAAATACACAAGGAAGGGGCCTCCCTTAGACCCATCATCAGCAGCATCAACTAATTCACATACAAAGTGGCAAAACATTTGGCCACCACCCTAGCTACTCTTGTCGGCCACACCACTCACCACGTCAAAAACTCACAGGACTTTGCAGAGAAAATCAAGGACATCAGGCTGGACCCAGATGAAACCATGGTTTTCTATGATGTGACAGCAATTTTTAACAGTATTCCTACAACAGAAGCAGTCCAAGCAGTAAGACAACGCCTCTTTCAGGACAGCACACTGGAGGTCAGAACCAACTTAACCCCCGACCACATCTGCTCCTTATTGGACATCAGCTTCAGCACAACCTATTTCCAGTTCAGAGAAGGCCATTACAGACAGAAACATGGATGCACTATGGGCTCCCTGGTTTCTCCAATAGTGGCCAATCTTTACATGGAAGAGGTAGAGAGGAAGGCCCTAACCTCTTTCAAAGGAGCAGCACCTGGCCACTGGTTCAGATATGTGGATGACACATGGGTTAAGATCAAAACACATAAAGTAGAGGCCTTCACAGACCATATCAACACAGTGGACAGCAACATCAAGTTCACCCATGAAAATGTCAAGGACAATGTGTTGGCCTTTTTGGACTGTGCTGTACACTTGGAGGCAGATGAATGTCTCATCATTGAGTGTACAGGAAACCCACACACACGGATCAATATTTACTTTTGATTTGAACTTCATTGCCCCATTACTTTGATTCCCACCATCCTCTGCAGCACAAACTGGGTGTTATCAGAACACTCAACCACTGGGCTGAGAGCATTCCCACGAAGAAAGAAGGTAAGGAAAAGGAACAGAGGCACATCAAAAATGCCCTGACAACCTGTGGATACCCTAAGGGGGCCTTTGTGAAGAACAGAAAGAGAAATAACACTGAACACGAAAGGGAGGAGAGATGCAAGAGCACTGTAATCCCTGACGTTGCAGGCCTGTCGGAAAAACTCGTGCAAACACCATATTCCTGTTCATTTCAAGCCTGGCAACACACTAAGGCAGAAGCTAGTCCATCCCAAGTACAAAACACAGAGACATAGACAGAATAATGTGGTGTATGCCGTCCAGTACAGTGAGGAATGCTCAGACCTGTACATTGGGGAAACTAAACAACTGCTTCACAGGCGCATGGCTCAACACAGGAAAGCCACTTCCTCAGGTCAGGACTCAGCTGTCCACCTTCCCTTGAAGGACACGGGTCACTCTTTCGAGGACAGAAATGTACAGGTGTTGGCTAGAGAAGACAGATGGTTTGAAAGAGGAGTTAAAGAAGCCATCTTTACCAGACTAGAGAAACCTTCTCTGAACAGAGGGGGTGGACTCAGGCACAATCTCTCTGGCACGTACAATGCAGTTCTCAGCTCTCTCCCCAGGAAACTCCACAAACATTCACACCTGGGACCACATGATTCAGGTGGCATGTGTCATGTGATCACATGACAAGGGTTGTTAACGACCCTCAGGGGGGAACACCTGGAGATGGGTTTCTACGAACCATTCTTTCCAACTCCTCCCAGTCGTTGTCTATCCCCTTCTCCAGTAAGATAAATATCTGCTCCTCACTCTAGCAATCAGAACTGAAGAAGCTTCTTGGAGAAGAGGTGAAACATCTGCTCAACTCTACACAGTCCAGTTGCCCTTTTTTGGAGTCTTAAAGAAAATTTAGTTAAAGCTTTCACCACGGCTTTGGCTCTGATTGTGCGCAGAGGCACAGCCTCGGGAAAATGAGTAGCAGCACATATGGTGACAGCAGCTCTCAAAGGCAGCTCTAGCTTTTTTGCGCCAACGAGATTGCTTGGTAGACAAGGATGGGGTTCCTTCTCCACCGGATCTTCCACCCGGACGAGTGTCTACAGCTCATCTTGCACTCCTGCTTAGGCAGGAGGTCTTGAGGCAACTTCATCAGGAACATGGCCATCAGGGTATAAACCGGCAACTGAGTTGGTTTGACAGCGCTGCTATTGGCCAAATATGTCCTCTGGCATAAAGCAGTGGGTTCCAGAGTGTGAGCGTTGCCAAACCACTAAGGACTTGGGACACCAGCCCCAAAGCTTCATGGACCACCTGCTTGCTTCCTGGCCCAACGTGATTGTGGCCACTGTTGGAGCCTTCTTGGAGCGGGCATGAAAATGTTCTGGTCATGACTGACGTGTAAACTGAGTCTTTTGCTTTGTTCATTGAGACTAGACAGAAACATAACCATGGTGACATGTTTCACCGTAGTCTTTTATAGGATAATGCAAGTCTGTTCATCAGCACCAGTTTGTGAAGTAATGCTGAATGTTTTCTTTGCTCACCCGGTGCAGGTTGGACTTGGACTGATCTTTATTGTGCATGTGTGAATGACCACTCAGCCTGAATAGAATATACTTAACCTCCTCTCTGCTCAGAAAAGACTGTCTCCTATGTGTTTCCTTCTCTAACTCAAACCATTCGTCATATTTTCATTACATCATTCTGCAAACGTCTCCTCCTCCCCCTTCTTCTTCACCCCGCTCTGTCTCTTTTTCACCAGTTTTCATTTTTTCTCTCTGTGTTATACTGAACACATTCTCTGCTTGTTGTGTGTGTAAATAGAAAGAGGCAATCTTAAATTGGTGCTATTTCTATCTCCTCTCTCTCTCTCTCTCTCTCTCTCTCTGTGTCTCTCTCTCTCTCTCTCTCTCTCTCTCTGCCTCTGTAATAGTTTATTTCTACCTCCATAACCCACAGGGGACTCCAATCACACTCAAAACTAGGGTTTAATAAAGAAAGGGTTAGAGTTAGAGCCTTCCTGGACCTGATGACCTGGTTGACTCTAAAAAAGAGAAATCTTGTTTTTCTCTCAATTTGATAGGAAAAAGTCAAAGAATAGATTCTGCAGCCTTCCAAAGTCAACTGTAAAAACAGCTCATTGCTGTCATTTTAACCAAACTCCTTTAATCCTTATCAATGCAGAGTCTCTGCTATAAATAGTGGAGTCATTGTTGTATTTTAGATCTGCAGCAGTTCTCTCCACAATAAGTGGAGCACTTCTGGGAAAGTTTATTTCCTTGCCATGATCGTGCTGAAACTCTCACTGACAAACATTTCCTTTAACATGATGATTGAATTTACTGCAGCTGTTTGCAGACTACATTTCTTGTGATGCAGCTGAAGTGTTGCATGCATGGTCTTAATGACAACAGTGCCATTAACATTCAGTCTGGGGCTTTAATAAAAGGACAAGCTGTCAATGACACAAAAATCTTTAAGGACTTTGGTCTGAACTGTGTTTAAGTTCATCACCACCAGGGTGTGCTGTCTTATCGGTGAGAAAATATCCTTCCTATCTTCGACCTCAGTTCAGCCAACCTTTGCATACATTTAACAAGAATATTTAAAGGCGCTGGTTTCTGCAGAATGAAGTAGACTTCCTTTAGCACATGAAAACTGTCAGAGAGCTAAAATGTTGGTGCTGCATGTTCAGAAAGGTCAGGTATTACTGCTGTATTTGTTACTTTCATAGTCAATGAAGTACGTCACACCATAAAACCCTAACCTGTCAGGTCAACAGTTTTGAATGTGAACAGACATTTTACTGTGAGACTTACCGTCCAGTAAAATCAGACACTAACTCATGGTTTCAGTCAGTATTTACTCTGTTTTAACTCAATAGCTCTTTAAACAAATGGACCACCTTAAGAGGTGACATGAGAAGCTAATCCCTAAAAACTTCTGCAGATATCCACATTTTTAGATGCCATTGTGTGCCAAACTTCACACACAATAGAAATACAGCATTGGATCCAAGGTTAGAGAAAATGCACCCAGCTTTCAATCTGAACTATTTTATTCCTATCTCAGTAGAAACATGAATCTTTGACTGGAGTTTGGCAGGTGGCTGCTGTCAGTTTTTCAGCCTGGCTGCAGGCTGCACGTCTGAACTCAGAGTGATGAATGGCGTCACTCAGACAGAGTCATAATCTCCTTAAATTGTAATGAAGGTGAGTATTTCACATTAAATTCACATCCAAGTAGGGGCATAAATTCACAGACCGGCGTCCAAATGAGGATATCAGGCCTCAGGTTAATGTGCTGCAGGCTCATAAACACACAATCTCCCACTGACAAAGGTAAGGAGGTGTTTGAGGAGGTGCACATGCACTGATACAAACACAGAGACATGAATGAGATGAGTGCTCTTAAAGTGAAGAGTCAAGTTTTATTTAAGGAGAGCATGTGTCAGAGTGGGGCTGTCGATAGGAAAGACGTGGGCATCTTCAGGCTGAACTAATTACGAAGATGCTGTTAATATGCATTGTGGGAACTCGGCTTTGAGGTTTGCGAGCTTGACTCATTTCAAGGACCTCCTCTGTAAATTTCACCAGACTTTGTTCTATTTCATCCCTTCTGACCACCAGAGGCGGTGCTTTAAGCACTGAATGATTCCCTTCGCGCATGCGCAGTTCATGCGTTTGTACCAAAATAGTCACGTGTGACCCCGGGATGAACCGGCAGAGGTTATTTATTCCGCCGGTCACCGAGGGTTCAGTCCCTTTTTCTTTCTCGCGCGCAGGTCACAAACTTGTGATGAGAAGCATTTTTCTAAAAAAACCTACCTTTAATCCGTGTGTGAAGTCACTGGTAGTCCCGTGGCAGTAGGTCGGGGTAGCGAAAATCGCCCTCCAGGCACTGCAACTTCCTTTGAGTTGTTTCCTTATTTCTGCTGTTTATCTCCAACTGAGCGGAGCTTCACTAACTTCGTCGAATGCTGTGGCGTTCGCCCGGTAAGGAAGGATCTTCGTCCCCCTCTCCTCCGGACAAGGTAGGTTGCTGTTGCATTAAGCTTGGTTAGCAGACTTTAATTGTTTTACAAGTCACAACCTATGCTGGTAGAGGCCATGTGCACCCCGTTTCCCCCCTGCATATGGTTGAATACCGTGAATGTAAGCGTAACGCTACGTATCGGTTACTTGCTGTAGCTAAAAGACTGCTCGTTTCGTTCTTTTTGTTAAAAGAAAAAACCGAGGCCAAAAGCTAGTTCTAAAAGAAGAAAGCCGGTACGCGGTGTCGCCATCCGGCCGCAGCCAATGCTATCGTTGTTGTAGTCGGCCTCAGTGGTGTAAGCGGTTAGACCGCTGCCCCACTCTCCTTTGCTGTACTAAAACACCATTGTGTTGTATAGCTGTCTTTTGTTTTTTCAGTGACTATCGATCCGAACAGCTTCGTATTTGTTTGGTGTCATTATTATAACCAGTTGCGTTAGCGCCCTGGTTACTTTAAGTGCTCTTGTGCTGGATAGCATTATTTTTTTTTTGGCATTGACCATTATAACCAGTTGCGTTAGCGCCCTGGTCACTTTGAGTGCTCTTTTGCTGAATAGCATCATTTTGTTGGCATTGACCATTAAAGCCAGTCGTGTTAGTGCCCTGGTCACTTTAAGTGCTCTTCTGTCTGCTGAATAGCCTTATTTATTTACTTATTTATTTGCTTATTTGGTTGTTTATTTGGTTGACTTTATTACTGTCAGCTTAATTGCGACTCCGTACTGGTATAGGCAGCATTCGCGCTCCCTCCCCCCAGCTCACGGCGTCTATTGCCCGGCGGCCAGTAGCGTCAGCGCCCTGGCCCAGTTGGGACAGCTAGGTAGGATGGATAGCACCCACTACTGCTCTTCATGTCAGGTTGGCCTCCAGCCTGACGACGGACATGACCTCTGCCCAGCCTGCCTCGGACCCGAACACCTCAGGGAGGCACTTGAGGGGGACCCCTGCATGAACTGCAGGTACATGCCTCGGGCGGCAAGGCTGGCCAGGCTGGTGGAGGTAGAGCCGCCACAGGGTGGCGACGACCTCGCCCCATCGGGCCAAGCATCCACACCCAGGACCAGGCGCTCAAAACGCCGGGCCCATGCAGCCACTGCTGCCCCCGCTTCCAAAAGGACGTCGAGGTCTGACCGCTCCGGCCTTTCATCAAAGGTGGAGCAGCTCTCGGCCGAGCTGGACCGCATGAGGTCCATGCTTCAGGCCCACCAGCCTGGGTCCCCTTCGGAGGAGGCTCGGGGGCCCACTCCGCCCATGCCACTCCTAGTCCCGGAGGAAGATACACTCTCCCTAGCGGCATCGGCTACTCACTTTCATGAGTATGGTGACCGTGATGGCGGCGAGGGAGACGGGGTCTCCCAGGTGTCCGATCAGGGCTCTCACTCCTCAGCTCAAACTTTGCTGCCAGAGGAGGACGGTTTCATGCGTGCCATCCTGCGGATGGCCTTGGAGCGATTAGGTCTGCCCATACCGCAGCAGGCGGAGCCAGCCCCTGCGAGCACCTTCTTCAGGCGCAGGCCAACCTCCACTGCATTCGCCGTCCCGCATGCGGAGGACTATATAAAGGAGCTGCACGCCTGCTGGAGAGACTCCAAGGCTTGCTCCCGCCCTCGGCAGACGGTCGTACCCTGGCGGCAATGCACGACACTGCAGGGGTCGGCCTGGATCACATGCCGGCCATCGAGCCCAGCATTGCATCCCTTATTGTCTCCCCCGACGAGGCTCTGCGACGGGATACTAGGTGTCCTCGCCCACAGTGCAGGCTGACGGACAACCTGCTCATCAGGGGCTACGATGCGGCAGCACGTGCTGCTAGGATCGGGAACTCCCTGTCACACCTCCTGCTTGCCCTGTCAGCGTCTCTGCAGGAGGGCTACACTAACGAGGAACCTGTCACCTTCTGTGACGCGGCACTAGAGGCATTCGGCCTTATGTCGCGAGAGCTAGGAAGGACAATGTCCTACCTGGTACAGGCTCGACGCCAGGTCTGGCTCTCCCAGTCGGGCTTGACTGAGGCGTCCAGGAAAACGCTCCGGGCTCTCCCTGTTGAGTCAGGAGTGGTTTTTGGCCCATGTGCCCAAGAGGCGCTGGAGCAGACGATCCAGGCTGGGCAGACCAGGCAGCAGCTTCTGAGTATGCGCCGCATGCCACCCCCCAGCAGGCCTCCCTCTGGCAGGGGCCCCCCAGCTGCCTCTGGAGCCCGGCTGCCAGTAGCTCAGAGTAGGGATCAGCGTCCTCAGCGGCCTACGCAGAGGCAGACCCGGGACTCTCGGGACTCCAGCCGCCTGCCTTCTAGGCAGTTTCGAGCCCCGGACCCTGGTGGGCCCCCCGCTTCCAGGGCCCCTAGGGGCCGGGGGGCAGACGCTGAGCCCGGGGGGCCGGCCGTCGGATACTTTACACAGCAGCAGCTCAGACGCTGGGCTGCTCAAGCTTCAGATCCGTGGGTTCTTACCACCTTAACCCACGGGTACAAGCTGCAGTTCCGACGCCGGCCCCCCACAGCCAGCCGGGTCAGGATTACCATCATTGCCGACCCGGCGAAAGCCCTCGCTCTCGACCAGGAGCTATCCGCCCTCCTGGCCAAGGGTGCCATCGAGGCAGTGGACCCCTGCTGCATCCCAGGGGGTTCTACTCTACATACTTCCTCGTCACCAAAAAGACCGGCGGATTCTGGCCCATCCTGGACTTGAGGGGACTGAACAGGTACTTAAAGACCTTGCCTTTTCATATGCTGACGACAGCGGGTGTGCTACAGTCCATTGTCCGCAACGAATGGTTTACATCTGTCAACCTGAAAGACGCCTACTTTCATGTTCCCATTGTGAGGCAACACCGCCGATTCCTGCAATTTGCCTACAGAGGCCGCCACTGGCAATTCTGCGTGCTCCCATTCGGGCTTTCCCTCTCCCCGAGAGTGTTCAGCAGGGTAGTGGCAGCTGCACTCCAACCTCTGCAGTCCCAGGGCACCAAGATACTGCCATATTTGGATGATTGGCTGATCTGCGCTCCGTCCCAGGCGCAGGCAGCCAGGGAGACATCACACCTCCTGTCCCACGTGGCGAGCCTCGGACTCAAAGTAAATGCAGAGAAAAGCTGCCTGGTACCGTCCCAGAGCGTAATCTTTATCGGTCTGGCCCTAGACACCAGAACGATGGTGGCACGTCCGTGCCCCAGTCGGGTGGACGGCATCTTAAGGCTGTTGCCAGCCTTCAAGAGAGGCAGGCGACTGCCGCTCCTCACCTTCCTCCGCCTCTTGGGCACGCTGACGTCCGTTGCGGCCATCATGCCGCTGGGCCTGCTGGCGCTACGGCCCCTGCAAAGGTGGCTGAACAGTTTCCACCTAGACCCAGAGCGACACAGGCACCGGAAGATCGTCGTGTCATGGCAGTGCCTCCTTGCCCTAGCCACATGGAGGGACAGGGCCTACATTGTAAGGGGTGTCCCTATGGGGGCCGTCCCATCCCGCAGGGAAACCGTTGCCACGGACGCCTGCCCCTTGGGCTGGGGCGCAGTGTGGCAGGGCAGGACAGTTCAGGGACAGTGGTCTGTGGCAGACCACAGCAACCACATCAATGTGCTGGAGCTGAAAGCGGCGCACTTGGCCCTAAGGCACTTTCTGCCTTACTTAGCAGGCAAACATGTTCTGGTTCGGTCGGACAATACTTTGACCGTTTATCACATAAACCATCAGGGCGGTACAAAATCTGCGCGGCTGCTACAGGCGTCAAGGGACCTCCTGACGTGAGCAGCCCCTCGCCTGTTGAGCCTGCGGGCCATGCATATACCAGGAAAGCAGAACCAGGTGGCAGACCTTCTCTCCCGCCAGAAGCCTTCATCAGGTGAATGGCGCCTTCACCCAGATGTGGTGCACACCATATGGAGCCGCTTCGGCAGGGCAGGGGTCGATCTTTTCGCCTCAGAGGCGTCGACCCACTGCCCCCTCTGGTTCTCCCTAGCGGAGACAACCAGCCCTCTGGGCCAAGACGTGTTCTCCCACCCCTGGCCGAGGGCACTTCTCTACGCTTTCCCACCTCTCCCTCTAATTCACAAGGTCCTTCAGAGAGTAGCTCAAGAGGGCCACACCGTTCTCCTGGTGGCCCCTTTCTGGCCAGGGTGAATACGGTTCCCCCTCCTCCACCAACTCTGTCACGGGACGCCATGGCGCCTCCCTGCCAGGATGGACCTGCTCTCGCAGTTAGGGGGGCCGTTATGGCATCCAGACCCAGACCCTCCAGCTGTGCGTTTGGCCGTTGGGGGGCCCGAGCCGCTGCTGAGCGGCTGTGTAGAGACGGTTCAACATACCGTCTTGAACGCGAGGGCACCATCCACCAGGCTGCAGTACGAGAACAGGTGGCAGCTGGTGTAGGGACCGGGGCAGGGACCCAGTTCACTGCCCGGTGCCCGCAATCCTGGAGTTCCTGCAAGGTCTCCTCGATAAGGGCCGGACCCCTTCGACGTTAAGAGTGTACGTGGCAGCAATATCCTCCCAGCACACTGGGGTCAATAACTGCACAGTGGGGAGCCACCGTCTGGTGTCGCTCTTTCTCAGGGGGGCTCAGAGATTAAATCCTCCGAGAGCCCCAAGAGCACCAGCATGGGACCTCAATCTCGTACTGGACTCCCTATGCAAGGCTCCTTTTGAACCCTTGTCACGCACAAAATTGAAGTGGTTGTCCTGCAAGACAGCCTTTCTTATAGCCATCACCTCGGCAAAGCGCGTCGGTGAGTTGCATGCCCTGTCAGTGCGTGATTCGTGTCTGAGGTGGAACCCAGACGGATCAGGTGTCACTCTATGGCCCAACACGGCCTTCCTACCAAAGGTCCTGTCGACGGCACACCTGAACCAGCCTATTAGGCTGGCCGAGTTTAGCCCTCCACCGGGAGAGAGGACAGACAAGCTGGAACTGTTGTGCCCGGTGCGGGCCCTCAGGGCCTATATCGGAGCCACTGCACGTATTCGCCGGTTGGATCAGCTATTCGTGTGTTATGGTGGCCCAAATAAAGGCAGCGCTCTGTCAAAGCAGCGCCTGTCCCACTGGGTTGTAGACACGATCAGCCACGCCTATCGGGATAGTAACCATCCCACGCCATCCAGGATACGGTGCCACTCGACGAAGAGTGTCTCCACTTCATGGGCTGCCCTTAGGGGAGTTCCCCTCGAGGAGATCTGCTCTGCTGCCTCGTGGGCGTCATCAGGCACGTTCTCAAGATTCCATAGGGTGAACGTGGCCACTCCCCACCCATTGGGTGTGGTTCTCCTTCCAGAGTCCTCAGATTCTGCCCTCTGAGGTTTGTAATTGGGGTTCCTCGTGACTTTGCTGGTATAAGTCATTCAGTGCTTAAAGCACCGCCTCTGGCGGTCAGAAGGGATGAAATAGAACGAAAGTTACGTATGTAACTAAGGTTCTATGAATCCCGAATGACCGCCAGAGCACTCCGTCACTCAGAACCCTCGTGTTCTCGCGAGAAAGTTCTGTAGGGACTGAACCCTCGGTGACCGGCGGAATAAATAACCTCTGCCGGTTCATCCCGGAGTCACGCATGACTATTTTGGTACAAATGCTCGAACTGTGCATGCGCGAAGGGAATCATTCAGTGCTTAAAGCACCGCCTCTGGCGGTCATTCGGGATTCATAGAACCTTAGCTACATACGTAACTTTCGATTTATCTTTTGCATGTTTTCAAGCTACAAACAAAGCACCAACAGGTAACATAAAAGGTGCATCCATTCTGAATGCATGGAGCCCTGCCATGTGCTGCATGTCAGCTCTGCTCTCTTAGGGCTCTATTTTCGTTCGCGCCAGTGAGGCGGCGGAGGGCGGCGAGCCCCGCGCAGTTGTATTTTCGTCTGGCAGAGCCCGGCGTAAGGCGAGTTTGGTATTTTCGTGGACTGAGTCGCACGGAGGCGAGCCGAGATCCGCCAAGCTGGGCGTGGTGGCGTGGCAGGGGGAGGTGTTGACAGAATCAGCTGGCGCAGTGACATTTTCGTGCTCGCCACCGGCGTGTAACGTGCGCTGAAAGCTCGCCGATTCAAACCTGGTCAGCTTTCAGCGCAAGGCGGAACGCAGCTGGTCTAGTAGTATTTTGGTAGACCGGCGGCGTATCGACGTACGTCACCGATGCCTCACCGGCATGTAATGTGTCTCCCTCCTTTTCTTTCTTCCTCTTATTTCTCGCACAGCTCGACCTGGACACGTCTCCGTGTCCTCTGTCCGTCTTGCTGCAGCTGCTGCGGCTGAACAGATGATTTGTTTCAGTGCTCAGATGCGTGATCTACTTTAAGCCGACATACGGATATTATAATATTCAGTTTTGTGAGCCAAATTTATTTTATATGCCAACATCTATGAAAGAAAGAGCCAGGCCACGGAGCGCGATGCGTCATTTACGCACAGATGGTTCCGATTTTAATGCCATTTTTGGAGTTTATGTTGTGATCTGTGCGCTAAACCCACCTTTGTCACGTGAGGTTTGAATATATGCAACTTTATGTGAGTGTCTTTATTTGTGGAAAAGGGTGTTTGTCTTACCAGTGGGTCCAACATTACACACACCAAATCCATCTGTGCTCAGATGAGAGAGTGTGGAGGACACTTGTTGAGCAGCTGCCCTCTGTCGCCATCGTGTGGCATAACTGTCTTCAGACATCTCTTGATCTCTTTGACTACTCCATGAAAATAGTAATACGCCTCGCCGGTGGCGGATTTAAAGGCAAGGAGAGGAGCTTATGTGATTGGTGAAAGCAGGTCTCGGCTGTGTTAAACCCACTCCACGCCCTCTCTACAACTTATGCTGCCGGGAGGAGCTGAGTTAGGGAGGGGGGATACTTACGCCGGGCTGCGCGGCTCACCAAAATACCAAAATGTGCTTGGGAACGCCTTGTCAGCGCGGCGGATCTGATTGACGCTGCGCTTGCGGCACGTCTCCGGCGAGGCACCAAAATAGAGCCCTTATAGTTATATTTAAAGTAAAAGAAAAAAAAAATCTATTTATATACCAGGAGTTTAACCTGGTCTCGCTACTTGAGCAGTTCTGAACATGTGTGTGTCCAGAAACTACAAATAACTAATGCTTATTGAATTTCGCCTCAGGGATCAGTAAATCTTATCTCATGTCATGTCAGTCATCTCATCTCATGTCATGTCATCTCATCACTCATCTCTTGTTTCATCTCTCATCTCATCTCAGTTTAGCCCCCAATTTGTCAAACATGGCAGCTTTTTAATGATCTCAGTTGCTCTGGAGATGTGACTGTAAAAGTGGGTTTGGGGTTGGGGTTCTTGCCCTCATTAGAGGCCTGCAGTAATGACAGGATGAATGTGCAGAGACTTGATGAAAATACACTGTTTTGCACAGTTGGCAAAGCATGTCAGATTTTATGAAAGGTTTGCATAATAAGTGTAAAGCTGACAACAAATCTGCACCAAATGTCACAATCACTAAAACTGAGACAAGAAATCCTGATGTGTCACAGCTTCCCCATCACAGACAGTGAACCGCACACACAGATTCAGATTGTGGATGATGTTGCATGTTGCTGAGTCACTGTGCTTGCTCCTGTTTTAATGGGGCCTCTGGTTTTTCAGGTCAGTTTCAGGAGAAGTTTGCAGAGGATGTGTCTGTCTGATTGTGTGTTATTGTGCATATGACCTTTGTCAGATGAAAGTTGTTTGTGTGGGTAAGGCTGGATGTGTACTGTGCAGTCCTTTAGAAGCTGTGGTGGAACTCAGTACACTGAATCGTCTATAGTGTATGATCATCATGAAGTTCTCCTTCCTGCATCCTGACTCCATATGCATCAGCTCCACACGGACAGACAAATGCGGCGGAGCTGAACAGCTGCAGCAGAGTCATAATCAGTAAACAAATGTTTACAGCCAACCTATCACAGTGAAATCCTGTCTGATGCCGTCAATGAGTCCCAAGTCTTAAATAATCAATGAAGCCACCCCGATGTGCCACACTGTTAAACACAGCATCTTTGAATTACAAAAAAGTCCCCGGACAGCTGTTGCTGGGATTTTTCTGTATGTTTAGCAACAATCAAAACCCCAAATCATCCTTGTACTTTGAGCCCTTGATCTTTTAACTCGGGTGCTGCTGTATATTGGTTTATGGGTGCCATGGCCAGGTCTGCAGTCGAGTCCAGAAGACTCCTCTCCACAGAAACATAAACAGATTTACCTCAGTGTGCACGGCCATCTGGATCAAACCTTCTATATTTTTTTGAGACCTTAAAACTCCAAGACCAAACTACACCTTTGTACCTGCCTGAATGAAAACACTGTAACAAGACAAAGACAGACAGATATGAAGAGGTGTTTGCAGAGATGCATTTGAAAGTGATAATATCTTGACTATTGTGATAAATTTGTTATTCAAAGCTCAAAATAAATCAAATCTGGTTAAAGCATCCATCCATTCAAACAACCATTTTTCAGGTCGTCTCATCATCATGACCGTTAAACTTTTAAAGTTAATTCTTTGGGCAACAGCCCTCAAAACATCCCGCAGTATGAGATATATGTGAATATAGGTCTGAGTCATTTATAAGTCTCGTCTCTGCAGATAGTAAAATACAGAGCCTCTGCAGAAATCAGTTCTCAGCTCTTCAACAGTGGGTCTGATGTGACAGCTCCACCCAGACTGGTGGTTAATCGGAGCTCCCTGACCCAAATCTGTTATTTCTGTCTGCTTTCTTAATGTTCAGCTCTACAGGGGTAAACAGACTCACAAATGTGAGAGTCATGACTTGGAAAACGACATCACATGTCCGATCTTAGATGACACATTTCCAGGATTTCTCCTTCCTGAACTTTGCCTCCCTGTACTGCATGAGTTTATGAAAATTCCTGGACCAGCAGAAATCCTGGGTTCATTCCCCATGGACCGCAGTAATCACCACACAGCAGGAGGTTGAGTCAGAGCCAAGTGAAGCAATAGCTGTGTAGTTAAGCTCAATCATCACAGCTCAAGCTGACAAGACAAGACCAGAGTGGCGATGATGAGCGGGTTTTTGTGTTTGTGTGTGTGTGATGGAACTCTCAAGAGAGCTGAGGCGAGCCGAGACCCTGAGTGTGATCATCATCGCCATGGGATGGCGAGGGTAGTGCGCAGCTTATTAGGGGTTCACTGCAGGGGGGCGAGTCGATCACAGAGCCAGCTGGAGATTCCTCAAATCAGTTGAGGAAGCAGCAAGGGAGGGAGAGCGACACGAAAACTGAGAGATCCTGACAAACTGCAGACAAAAATCAGAGAGAAAAGGACAAAGCAGGTGAGAGACATTCAGATGAAAGTATGAAAAAGGCTAAATTAGGAGCAAGAAAGGGGGAACCAAGTTCATAATAACAGCCTGGAAATCGTCTTTTATCAGATATCTGGTGTAAAATTCTACAATAAATTCAGCAAACGTCATGTGTCCACGTGTGTGAATAAAAACTTCTCTGTCTTTGTAAGACTTCGGGGTCTCCTAGGTGAGGACTGCATCAGTCCAGTTTCTCAGCAGGACTCTTCTCTTGTTGTAATCCCTGTTGTCAGAATGTGGTTTGGGATCATATGAAGGTCTTCCTAAACCTGGAGATATTGTTTAAAACCATAGACTGTATATAGAATGGACGCCGTGTGCCTCCTCGCTGGGTGAAGCCACTCCGAGAACAGCACCCTCTGTTGATGGGCTGCAGTATAGGTCATAAAACCCGCCTCCGCCAGCAAAGCTTATGGGGCTGTGGACCAACTTTAGAAATTTGTTACACAGAACTTACATTTTTCTCCCCCCTGCTTGTGATGTTGACATGTAGTTATTGTCAGACTGGTTTGTGCCCAAGTCCTTTTTTTTCTGTGAAGCTCCGTTTTTAAAAGTTATTAGGGGGTTCATTATTGCTATGATTGACACCTGATACAGCCTATGGGCGTTCAGGGATTGAGTAGCTCTCCCGGGGGATACGCTGTTTGAGCCGAGCGTCATCACAGCGATTCTCTGCGACTGCGCGGCCGCATGCGCACAACACTACTGCACAGTGCTGGTATCAGGAAATGAAGAAAAATCCCGGAAATACCGAGAGCTTTGTGGCTTCAAATCCGTATACAGGCAGAACCAGGTTGTCCATAGTATATACATTCTATGTTTAAAACTGATGATGCAGCATCTATGATTTCCAGTTCTTTGTTGACAGGAGAACTTGACTTGGTCCTGTTGCCTAAGGCGAAATGTCTGAAGTAAGTCCAGTTGTCTTTTCCAAAATAGTGTTTGATTTTGATTCATCAGACCTTAGGACAGTTGACGGACAA